ATGAGACATTTTATATAGAGAAAGGAATGGAGAATTGTAGCTTCTCGGCTCTGTGAGACTGTTTTCCCAGGACTCGTGGTGGAGAGATGGGTGTCCAGCTGGAGGGTCGGCGCCATGATGTTCCATAGGCGAATCATGTGTGGCCACCTTACGCGGCCTCCAGTGAAGACTGCACTGGAATATACTGGTCACGGTGTCAAAGAGCATTGCTGAGCATTACACGCCAACTGTATCGAGGGATGACGATTAAAGGGAACGGACGTAAACTAGCAGAAGGGACTTGTGAGTCTGTTTCCCTCCTTTGTCCTCGCGACTGAACCATGATTTGACGTTTCCCTCCAGAGGAGGAAAGGGGCTGTGAATACACACTGCCCTTTTCCAGCCATGGGCTTGAAGGTTTTCGTCCAGATACTATACTTTCATGGCTTTCTTGGCATAAACTTAGTTCTTTCCCTATTACATGTATTGTACGAATGCAGGGATTGACACTCGGCGATTGCATTAATGGCTTAAAAATGGGATTCCCGTTAATCCTTTAAAATTCTGTGGACTTCTGAAGAGTCAAAAGGACTCAGTGGAAAAAGAGAGAAGCTGTTAGAATGATTGTTAGATGTTCGATTTGAAAGAATCAAAAAGCGGGAAATGATGACCATGGAAGTCAGGTTAGTAGTTACTTCTGGGGCGGAGGGATATACAGAAGACTAACGTGGTGTCAACAGTATTCTGTTTCTTGACTTGGGTGGTGGTTAAACTGTATAGTTTTTGTGCAATTCTCTGTGTACATTTTACATAATGTGTATGCATGCATGCGTGCACACACACACATACACATACACATATATGATATTTAAAAAAAAAACTGCAAAACTGAGCATCTTAAAAACAACCAGACGGAACAACAGTTTGATTGGCAGTCTGCTCCACAGTTATGCTAGAAGCCGGAAGCCAACAGAATAACTTCAAAGGCCTGGTTAAAAAGAGTCAAATCTAGAAATCCATCCTTCTAAACTCTTTTTCAAGAGTGAACATAAAATTAAGGTAATTTCTAATGGACTGAAAGAGTTTACACTTCCCTGGGCCGAGAAGGGAAAACTGCTGTAGTGGATACGACTTTCGTAAGAAGGAAATTGAGCTTTAAGGAAACAGGGAAGAATCAATGTTAAAAAAAAAAAAAATCAAAATAGAAAATGAAAGAGAAATGGAGCCACCATCCAAAGGCAATATATGTTCATATAATAATCCTTTTACTGTTTGTGGTGTGTAGTTCACGTCACTGAATCCAGACATCAATCTTGTCACTATTCCTATTTTTCATGTGAGAAAACTCAGGGTCAGAGCGCTGAAATCTTTTACACAGCAGGCATAGTGATGCCCAGGTCTCCCAGGCTCCAAAGCTCAAGTTCTACCCATTACACTTCGCTGTGTCACCATCATTAAAAACCAAAATAGGAGAAGATGACAGATGACAAATTCTCCCATAATAACATGTAGAGACAACAGCTGCTTACATGTTGATGTGTTTCCTTCCAGTTTTTTTCTCCCCTACATACATTTCATATGTTGGGATTTCTCTTATTTCGTAATTATTTGTCAAAAACATTTTTCAAAACTCCATCACCTTCAGGCTTTTCAAGTTTGGTAGTCAATGAATCTGGCTACTCTCTTAGCTGGAAATATCTCGGTCTGACTGATACACAATTGTATTTGGTTTGCATTCGCATTAGATGGTGTCGCTTTGAGCCAAAGTCAGTTCAGCTGTCAGTCTTTACAATATAAGTGTTTTGAGTAGACCTTTTGAGAAGGACAAGATGTAAAAAGGGTCTCTGACTGCCTTCCAGAAGCCAGGCAGAAGTATTTATCTCAGCTTGACTGTTTGATTTTCTTCTTTCTGTGCCTTTAATCTAATCCTGCCCATCAAAGCTGGTAGCAGTAGAGGCTGTTTCACGTGTGGTTTCTGTGTCCCTCAGAACACGCTGAGAAGAGAAAGTTACAAAAAGAACAAATGTCCTTTCCGAGCTCTAGATTCCCCTTTTCAATCGTCTGGTGGCTTTCCCTTTTTGTCCTCTTGTCATTCTAATCTTGTGTGTCTAAAATGGAGTCCAAAAAATAAAAATAAAATAAAATGGAGCCCCTCTGGCCCCAGCAAGCATGCACTGCTCCTACGTACTCCAGCACACGTGGACCTAGCCATCCAGCTTGGGCACCTTTGCGTCATCTGTCAGTTATCCTTCCTCCCCACCCTGACTCCCAGTCCAAGAGGAAGGACAGATGGTAGGTGTCAGAGGAAACAAGTAGCTCTCCATTCAGGAGTGGGGAAAGAAAGTGAAATGTTAACAGATGTTCAAGAAACTTCATAATTGGCAGGAAGTAACCCACACTCCATAGCCATCAGAGTCATTCCAGAAAGATCCACCTTGCTCCTCTGTGACTTTGAATCAAGTATGTGTAGTTCCAGTCATTATTTCCCTGAAACAATATGCAGAGTCTGACAAAAGGAAGATGGCTTATTCATACGAAATGACAGGAGTCACCAAGAGATGGGCCACCTTTCACGATTAAATTCTCTGTAAAGAAGTTAAAGAAAAGCACAATAAATCAGCTTGTTTGTAGACTTCCATTTTTTGCCAGTAGATAATCAACCCTTCCATTAAAAATTAACATTCTGGATAAAATATTTCAACTTTTTTAATATGCACTGATAGGCTGGCATGCAGGCAAGGAATATGTAAGCCAGAAACCTAATGAAGATAGACATGCAGAGGTATAAGCAGACTCTGAAGTCAGTTTTGGCTTTGAAGGCATTTGCTGAAACCTGTAAACTTAAGTGTGTGTATGTGTGTGTGTGTGTTTCTTGAATTGTTCCCTGGAAAAGATACACAGTACCTGGGTTTTCTGCTTGTCAGTCTTTTAGAGTTGGGGTGGGTGGGGGTCAGGGAGGAGACTGCTGTCCACAGACAGAGTCAAAGAGAAGCTGCTGCCATGGCCTGTCTTAGCTCTATGTCTGTCTTGAGTCTTCTGGTCCATATTCCAACACCTGGACTCCCACCCCTGCTCCTGACGGAAGCTA